ACACATCAGCACAGCTTTTAGCAGTAAGATTGGCTGAAATCCCTCTTCTTGCATACTTCGTTACTCAATTTTATTCATCTCTTTTCCATTTCTATACATTAACAAAAATAACTCTTCAAACATTCTCTCCAGACATTCTCTCCTCTAAAAGAGTCAGATATAGAACGAAGTAGATTTTTAAATTTGAGCTATAAAGTGTCTCAGTAATTTATATGCTGTGTTTTTTTCTTATTTTGAAGGATTTCTAGATTGGGTTCCTAAGAAAATGCAAAGGGTGGGCTGCGTTGAGCTGCTGAATACAATCCAGAGACGAATACAACCACGACTTCATGTTTTTGGACACATTCATGAAGGTCAGGAATCTCTCTCTCTCTCTGTATTATTTTCGTGCATAAAAATTAAAATCCATAGTATGAGCTCATTGAGATACTAGCTGCAGTAGGTAAGAGGTGCGTTGATAAATTGCACTTCAATAGTCTCTGATTTTGGCTCTAAAAACGTAACTGTCACATAGAATAAGGCTTCCAGCTTAAAAGGCAGATGTTTCACAGCAAGGAACTAAGAGGAAATAATTAGGGACGTCCATAGAGGGGGTCAAAAAAGTCAATATGGTAACTGTACAGTCATGGTCACCATGCTGACTTTTTTTTTTCACACACACACGGACACCCAATGGATGCCCTTGAAGGAAGCTACCTTTCATCAACCAGTAATACAAACTCTAGCTGGATCTAGACTGATAAATATATAGTGCTCGCTTGGACAATGTTTCCACCAAGTTGGAACACTTCCATACCAGCATCCCTTGCAAAGCAGGAAACGTAATGAAGGGAACAGGAATATATTTACAACAAATGTTAGTAATTTATATAAAACAAGTGACAAGCTAGATTTTTACCTTGGGTTTCTCAAATTGTTCAAAATGGTGATGTAAAAATATCTTAGCACTAGAAGATTCTATTATGACATGATTGCAGACGATATCTATTACTGACCAAAGGCACAAAGGCAGTGTTCATTTCCTGAACTTCTGGGAGAAATAACTACGGTATAACCAGTCTGTCTTCTTACAAACCTTTGTGAAAACGCTGAACCTAAAACTCTTCCTAAAGTGACAGAATCATATCGCTTTCAGTAAAAAAAGCTGTTCCTCATTACCTTCTCTGCACCCTACTTTATTTTTCAACATACGTTAATTGTATCCAAATTACTATCGCCCTATCTCAGTCCTTTTTGTATAAGAATGAAAAAAAAAAAAGACTGGAAAGATTTGCTACAACAGCTTTTTGCTAAAATTTGAAATATTTTTCAAGGATAATGTGGGAAGGATAATTTTCTGAAACCTTGGATCTTCCAGGATCATGATAAACGTCAACTGCCTTATGGCACATTTTTGTGTTCTGTATGAGTTTGCTTCTCAGCAAAATAGATTTCCTTCAGCCTTTACTTCTGTTTGCTCTGCCTGTGGAAGTGTCTCCATAATTTAGCTGACCTGCACTCTGTCAAACTCTGAAGTATACAGAACCTGCTACAATCCATGGGTTGTTTCCAAAAATCAGTATATGAAGACGAGCAATGAAGCCAACCTATGAAGGAGACAGAGGTCATTGTGACATTCAGTTATATTGAAGTAACAGATGTTCAACCTCTGAATGCTATTTAAAAGCTCTTAATGTTGAAAATAGCTTTATGGAGGTAAAGGCCAAGAAACCGGAGCAACAAAACCATAATCCCTTGATTGTTGGCGTGCTGCTTTTTCCTTTCATCAGTGGTTCTGTTAACTCACTTTGGAAGGATGTTCAGTTTGGCTTCAGAATATCTGTGAATAATCTCAAAGGAATCTGAATTCTGTAGAGACCTCCAGGCCCCAGAGGCAAAGATGCTTCTGTAGATGGAAGCCTGCAGGTGATTGACGATTTCATAGGAAGAGCCCCATTTTCAGCCTGAAGAAAAGAGTCCTACATTCAATTCTAGGGGCCTAATCTAAACTCAGTTTTAATGCTAAAGATTTCAGAAAGACAATACATTGCAGGTAGGCCCTAAATTCTACCGAGAACAATTTAAGTGGTAGGGATTTGAAAACTACTCTTCAAAAAAGAGTGGTGTCAGAACGTTGTTCGCTTAGATTCATGTGAACCCATCCAGAATGAAGGCATTCAAGGGTCAGTGCTGTGATTTATTGATGTCCCAGCTCTTGTGGAAAGAATTATTGATGTCCCAGCTCTTGTGGAAAGAATTATTGATGTCCCAGCTCTTGTGGAAAGAATTATTGATGTCCCAGCTCTTGTGGAAAGAATAGAGCAGTGTTGTCCAAACTTGGCCACTTTAAGATGAGTGGACTTCAACTCCCAGAATTCCCCAGCCAGCATGGCTGGCTGGGGAATTCTGGGAGTTGAAGTCCACTCATCTTAAAGTGGCCAAGTTTGGGCAACACTGGAATAGAGCTTTCTGAATTGCCACTGGTTCTCCATCTTTTGAGAATTTTGGTGGATGATAGACGTTTGGGTGAAAAAAAAAGGGGGGGGTTGTAGTTGGATCATAATATACACAACTAAAGTAGTGTACCAAAGAAAAGCTTATTTATAAGAGTGTTTTTAATTTTTTAGGTTACGGTGTTATGGCTGATGGAACAACTACCTATGTGAATGCTTCTGTGTGTACCGTGAATTACCAGCCACTGAATCCACCCATAGTTATTGATTTACCTACTCCGAGAAACACATGATTGTGACAGAAGACAAACACGAAGCCCGTAACTTATGCCAGTGAGCAACCATGAAATTATGGCATTATTTTTATTGTTCTTTACGGACAAACTGGAAAGACGCAAACGGACAAGTAACAAAGGCATTTGGTATCACAACCTTTTGAAAGTGTATTCATGGATTTAGCATTTCATTGTTTTAAAAGAATTGTTAATATGAAAAAAGGAGACAACTTCCACATTATAGACATTGGTGTATTTTGTATATTCCATATGCTATACTGAATTTACGAAAGGACATGTCTCTTCAGCAAAATGGTCCATTATGAATGCTTGCAGTTTTATATGTGTGTTCAGTACATCTTCATTTATATCTGGCCAGAGGAATAATCATATTGAGAGTCAAAATTTGTAACTGTGTGAAATACTGGGTTTTTTTCTTTAAACAATATCTCCATGTAATCACCAAAAGAATCTTATTCTACATTCTTTCGAAATCTACAAACATTTCAGGTTTTTAAAAACAGTGTAGAAGAAAACTCTCGTTTGCAACTGGTAGTGAACATGAAAAGAAAAAAAAATACGAATGACTGAATTGCTGTACACAGCAGAAACATTTGAAAAAGAAGTGGTTTAAGATCAGATGAAAACTCAGGAATTAGTTCCCCCTCCCGATAAGAAAGATATTCTGCTGGTGTAAAATCTTATCTACTAACTTTTAGGGTTGTGTACTCTTAGGGCTGACAGCAATGGCCAGAATCGGATTCTTCTTCAGCAGTGATGCTAGAAGCATCAGGGAGAACCCACACTTACTCAAAGCTGATTAAACAGATTGTCCAGGCTCCCTTGTTGTTCCTGCTGTTCTCTTTAAGTGTAGCTTGGTCATAGCAGTGATCCTGGAGAAGATCTATCTGTATGGTCACTAAGAGACGGTGCTGAATAGATAGCACATAATCAATCAATCAGTCATAGCAACGATGACATCAAGCACTGAAAATCGGTTCAAAGGGATTGATCGTTAATTTGGAAGGAATTCAGCATCGTTGCTGGTTCTGTAAAATTGGGAGATATAGAGGTTTCCGGATATGGGAAGCAGCGTTTCCACACTGAAGACTGATTCACAGACCAAGACCAGGGAAAGCGATAAATGCTATGTACACATCCACTCCTCACTCTGTCACAACTGAGCAGAAAAAGGGGGTTTCTGGTACAGTCATGCACAGAGCCTGTCTGGTTTCATCACCTACAGCTTCAGCATCACTAAATCTAGTTATATGGTTTGGAAGTTGACCGACATGTTCAGTTATGGGAAAGATTTCTCACTGTATGGTAACTCTCAATCTGTTTTGTGGATTAGCTCCCTCCACCCCCCCAATTTAGATATGCGGGTATGTGAAATGGACAAACGACAACTACGAGCTAAGGTTTGCATGCCAGCAGGTAAGAGGTATTTCTGGTCAAGGTGGCAAAAAATGATGCGTCTCCTGTAGGGTCCCCAAGCACAGAATCTCACGCAAATGTTTCTGCATGTGGCCACATGTTCTTGTACACAATCATGTGGAGGAATTTTATACTATGAATCCATGTGGCTTTTTTAAAACATAGATTTTATAATGAAAACCATGGGAAAAAAAGAGAACTGCATTTCTCAAATGAATGTTTACATGCTCCCATAGCACATTGCAAACACTTTGAAATGCAGTGGAACGTTTTGAAAAAGCAGGTCCCCTTGTCCCTTTTTGCCTTCTATGTCAATCAGGAGATATTCTCTGAATATTTCCCCCATGAGGTACTTCTTTCAAAATACTATGTATTTTTATGTGAGAATGTTATAAAAGCAGCTGTTATCTTTAAAAGGAAATATTAAGAAGCTTTGGTGGTTCCAAAATTTTTAGCATAACCGGATTGCTGTTCCAAAGTTGCGTGATATTAAGAGGGACCAAAACATAGCCAAAAGTGCAAACCTTCAAATCCTCTTAAACTCTGTAAGGCTCACCCATGCAGCCCTGTTGACGCGCTTTCCACCCATCCTCGAGGTTGGAGGAAAGTAGGTTGTCAAAAAGATTAAAAAATATTCATAGCCTGTTTTTCACCGCACCTTAGGAAGGTGGTGCTGCTGCCCTCACAGAAAATGACGCAATGCCACACTTGGCCCTGGTCCTTAGCGGTGGGAGCGAGAGAAGTGGACACCTCTCATGAGGGTCTACTTCCAGATGACTAAGGGGAATATAAGTCTCATGGAGAAAAGAGAAGGTCAGTTTGCTGAATGAGGAGCTGAGCAGCTGAACCACGAATGACCCTGGAGAAACAGCAGCTGTAGGTTGCCCATCTCCAAAGAATGCCCGTATGGAAGGCCTTCTTCTGGTTTCCTATGGAAAACACGAGTCCCTTGCCACACCAATTTGGACTAGCTTCAGCCTGCCTCAGCAGGGCCTGGCTACGAGATGCTGTGAGGAAAAGTCCTCAATTAATGTGAAGTGGGGTGTCTTCAAGCTGGGGAAAGGAGGCGATGTGGGCGAGCCCTAAGTGAGAGAAGCAGCAGTGCTGGAAACGGAAGAAGAGTTTTGGAGAACGCGGGGTGGTGTTTTGGTTTCTCCCAATATATTGCCCAACTATGGCTTTTGAATTTTTTTCCTCATAGACCAGCGCTGTTACCTTGGTCTTATATGCGCTTTGGAATGTTGTTGTAATTTTCTCTCAAGCATGTTAGATCAATAAACCAATCTTTTAAAGCTACCAGTTATGTGGTGTGTACTTGGGAGTGAGGCATTCAGAATAACTGGAGTTGGCCTTATTTGCTATAAACACCTCACGGCCGTGAAGTACAGAAAGAACAGTGGGTGTCCCTGGGCTAAGCCACAAGCAGGCGAAGGCGTCCGTCCTGCACGAGAGATGTCCTGGGAGAAGCAGCCTGGTTGGGCCTGCAGAGCCCCTTTAGATGCCAGCTGGCACCTGTGAGAATGGCGGCCTGTGTCCGGGTATCTCTAGAGGGAAGCCCACAAGCGGTTGCGTGGGAAGCTCTCTCTGGTGAGACCCGGACCCTCATCGGTCTTCAGGATGCGGCAGCTGCCACTGAAAGAAACTCAGTTCAACTCAGTTGAGGGTTTGCTGGTTGTGACTGTATGGAGCACGAAGCCGTCACAAAGAGCCGACCTGGTGCATTGAGTGATCCTAACCGTTTCAATGAGGCTGGGTCAGGGCTCATTGTATTGTGCGAACATGGGCAACTGGGTTAATTCAGTACACGACTGCCTAGCTAACTGTGGTTAAGTGCCCCATGTGAACCCTGCCATAGTATTGCCCTGGCAATAAAACTCTGTAGCAAGGGGAAGCCTGGCCTTAAAATAGGGCAGCTGCAGGTCTGGGTTTCTCCCATCCCTGCCCAGAGGGAGAAAGGCTGAGATCCAGCCAACTGCTGTCCTGGCAAGAACCCATCCACTAACCCTTCCTCCCTCCCTTCCTCCCTTCTTTCCTTCCTTTCTCCCTCCCTCCCTCCTCTCTCTCTCTTTCCCTCCCTCCCTCCCTTCCTCCCTCTCTCTTTCCCTCCCTCCCTTCCTCCCTCTCTCTTTCCCTC